TTCAACTGCTTGTGATCAGTAGTAGTATGTTCTAGATGGACCTAGGATCTTAGGACCAGGAGTCGGTCATGATTAGGACCAGGAGTCAGTGATGATTCTTAAGAGCTACTGCAAATGGTCACACTGACTATTTTGTTTTCTTAAATAAATTCATTCAGTGTCTTGGCAAACGGATTCATTTCTTAGAGCTTTATCCATATTTAACAACTATACTTGAAGATGCAAAGAGTTCAATGTTCATTGACTTGAATTAAATTCAATTAGAAAATTGTTTGATTTGGTGTATAAGATTAATCAAACTGTTGTGTTTTCATAAATTTCATTCGATTCTAGGACGTTTTTGAAAATCTGGGGCAAATGGGAGGGGTAGGTGGCAATCAGCTGAATAATTTGCATTGGAATTCCTGTTTGGATTTGTTTCTGGTACTCCTCTTTAGAAGGACTCTTTGTTGTGTGTTTGTGTGTGTGTGTGTGTGTGTGTGAGAGAGAGAGAGAGAGAGAGAGAGAGAGAGAAAGAAACTCAGCAGCACCTATTTGGAACATACCAGGCTAGAAGAGAGAAAGTATGTCTCCTGAAGCCCCATAGACCAGGGTCAAATCCTAGCTTCCCCAGTCGTGTGATCTGAACAATGTCTCTAAGTCTCAGTTTCCTTCTTCTATAGAATAGCGTATTTATTTCACAGGATTTTTGTGTAGTTATTTTGGGAAGAGAGAGAAATCCTCATCTTCTTGGAAAGGTTTGCTCCAGATTCATTGGAGACATCGAGTTACACAAATGTCTAAGTCAGAGAATGGATGGTGAGGAGGTTTTGAAAATAGAGTAAAAACTTTCAAAATCTGATAAGAATATGGATTGGGATAAAATCTGAGAATCATTCAATTTAAAGCAATATAATCTTCACTTAAAAAGCTGTGTATTATATGTTAATATGGATTAAAATTTTTTAAAAAAATTTAAATTCAATTAATTAACATACAGTATATGTTAATATGGATTTCTTATGAGCCCTATTTTGGTATTTCAAATTGGGGAACAATATCTCTATTTAATGAATAATAAAGCAAACTTTGTGAAGGCATGTGTAGAATATGATTGAGTAACTTAAATGTAATTGAAAATCTCCCCTTAATATTGGGGCCGGACAGTAGAAATAATCCAAAGAGATTTTACCGAAGAGATTGTATTTAATCTTGTTGCTGAATCCTCACAATCTATGAACTCATTTAGATAACTCTCTTGCTGGTGGTGCTTGCAATGTCCAAGTCAGAGCATTAGATATTCTGTGCAGAGACAGATATAATTTATTTCTGTGGAGCTGTCTGGAAAAAAAAAAGTCTTGTTTTTTTAGTTTGGTGTAATATTTAGCAAATGAGGTGCTTTGTATCAAGGATCTAATGTTGAATATGTAAAATTGATGGACTTCAACGAAATGATTTTTTGTACTATTATAATGGGATGTAAGTATCAGATTTATTTTTGATAAAAATAGAATGATTCAAGTTCATGACATTATCATGTTCTCTGTAAATCTTATTTCTATTGAGTGACATTAAAAAAAAAGTAGTATTTCCATCTTTAGAAATAGCTAGTAGTGCCTAGCTCGTAGATTAATCTTGGGTCACTGACTTAACATATTTTAAAGCCCCACATCCTTTTGGTGTGTAAAGATGGAGGAAGGTTAGAATTTACTTGTGCAACGGTGGCTTCATATTGCCAAGAAGGTTCAGTTGGTTCAGATAACTTTCCAGCAGAAAAGTCAGGCAAGTCATTTCCTCAGTGTCTTTTGAAATGATGCTTTATGGAAGTTTTCTTAGGGAGGTACAACTGTTGCATTGCTTTTGCATAACAGTCTAGAAATACAAGTAGTGATTTGTTAGCTTGTTAAAAAAATTTTTATTTTGAGTGGTGAAGGCTGTCCTACTGAACTCCCAGACATTCTGAGTCTTTTTAATCATTAGCTGTTGGTGATTCTTCATCTTTTTTTTTTTTTTTATTAAATCACAATCTTCTGAAAAAGTTGATAATTATTTCCCAGAAATATTCAGGTATGCAAATACTTGCAAAATCTTCCAGAAATTTTTTTGAGGATTTACAGACTCCCAAATCTCATTTCAGTAGATGTTGGGAGACTCAGAAGGGCAGAATTTCCATGTAAGGTGTAAAATAGGGGCAAAGAAATCAGTTTGGTTCAAACCTTAAATTCTACCAGGCATTTCCATTCTGTCAATTGTGTTTATTAAACACCTACTATGTTCCAAGGTGTCCAGCAGGGAACAAGACAGAGAAAGGCCTTGAGCTCACTAAGCTTACGTTGTGGAGGATGTTGTTAAGGTGAAACATGGTGGTCTTGACCCTCAGAATTAACTCTCACTGGTACTTGTACATTTCAGGAGCCCTTTTTCTTCAGAAACTGAGACGATTTTGATTAATTGACCTGACAGTGCATGGCACATCATATTTACTTGGGAGGATTTAATAACCTTTGAGACTCCCAGAGGAAACATGAAAATTTCCACATACTATTATCCTAATGGGATCATAGTAAGAGAAAGTGCAACCAAAGATTTAAGGTTCTCACATTTGGGTCAGTCCTTAAATGCTATTGGGCTTTTCACCTGAATTCACAGAAGATAGAAAAGTCAGGGCAACAGAAACTGGGGGCAGGGAAGGGAAGCATTTTATGGTGATTTATTATCTTAGGGGAATGAATAATCTGTTTCTTGGGAAGTATACTATTTAAAATTTAAAAATATGTATGTGGAACCATTGTTTTGATAAGTTACAGAAGGAAATATTTTATGTACTTGGGAATTTTGGGAGAGAAAATAATAATATGGATTATCCTATAGAGGTAGTTCTCCGAGGATCATTTAGGACCAGCAGACTTGGCATCGACCACCCCCCAAAACTATAGAAACTGTAGAAATTGGGGGGGCAGCAGTCTGTGTGTTAATAAGCTCTTCAGATGGTTCTGTTGCTTTAAAAGTTCAAGATCCACTGCTCTACAGTGATGTGCAAATTATTGCTTTTTTAATTTGACTCACATTTATCAAACACAAACACATGTAAGTTGTATTGTGAGCTTTTGAAGTTTATAATGCAATGCACATTTCTCAGCATGTTAATTTTCCTTTAAAATATTCCCACACTTAAAGCAAGTCTCGTTTCATTTTTTTAAGTATCCTAAAATAAGATTTATATCAAATTAGACCATTTTATATCAAATTAGACAACATAATTGAAACACCAAGCATAATAGTTAATGTATAGTAGATGTACTGTATATCATAGTTCCCTTTCGCTTTTATCTATTAGCACTTGTTTTTCTTTAATTTGTCATATAGATTATTAATTTACTCTCTTAATTTTATAGTTTGTGAATAAATTGTAAAGTTTTAAATATTAAAATAACTTAGAATTCTATTTATGGGTTATTTTGGATGTACACCCCGTTGGGCAGCTTATACTATAATATACTGAAGTAGAACGAAATTTTAGATTTCTGTAGGGCAGAGTTGAGTTTGAGTTTAAATAAAAGAGAATGAGGGGTGTAGGAAATACTGCATTTTGACATTGCTTCTGGTAGCACCTGGATTTCCCCAGGTCCTACAGCCTGAGAGTGCAAAGGAGTTTTACCTTGACAATGACATTAATAATTTACAACTTTCTGGATTTCCTTCCCCATTTGCCAACAGCACATTTCAACCCCTTCCCCGGAGGATCCCCCAGTTATCTGGGGAGTTTTCAGAGTGTATTTGGATAAGCTTAGGAGCATGGCTGGCCGGGCTTCCGAGTTCTGCTCAGAGTAGGTGCCCGAGAGCTCTCTGATGGTCCTCGGCTACTGCCCCAATGTCTAGGGCCTCTGGGAGACGGCTGCTTTCCTGCCCAGAGCCCTGTGTCTGCTGTGTGCTCAAACCTTAGAACCTTCTAAGGCTGACGGGTACTCAGTTACTGAAGGAACTTATAGGCGCCATATTGTATCACCAGCGTAAATTCCTAACTAATTTCCCAGTCCCTCCTTCTCTTCTGTAGATACTCACCCACTAAATAAGCAAGACCTCCTTCCCTGATGCATGCTGACACAGGCAAATTCAAACTTTGCTGGGGAGGGGCCTGCAGCAGGGCTGGTTTCCGGGACATCTGACCTATGTAGTCTTCTACCCACGGCCCGTGCTTAGAAGGGCTCTGTGTTTGGTTTTTACGCTGTGTTTGGCCATCTCAAAATTTGCAATCATTTTTGAACACAGGGACTTGCATTTTTATTTTGCACTGTGTTCCTCAAATTAGGCAGCAGTCCTGGGCAACTGCTCACCATTCAGCAGAGACCCAGACTCTGACCTTCGGTTTAGGGACAGTTTGCTAGTTGATGTCTGCCTTTTCTCGAGTCTGTTCTTGAGGTTCACAGTAACAATGTCTAAACTCTCCTTAAACATTTCTCAATATGTGGTAATAAGATCATGAATTTAAATATGATTTCTCTTATGGGAGTAGAGTCTATAAATCTGTAGGAATCCTGCAACACTTTACTATTATTGACTTTTTAGATATTAGGTCAATTTTAGTAGTTCCTAGCTCGTAGATTAATCTTGGATTAATCTCTAAAAAAAATCACATTTGTTAATGGATTTCCTCCTGTAAAAGGTGGCAAAAGTTTATTTAGAACCACACTAAATTTGATTCATTCATCAAACACAAATGGTGGACCCATTAAGTGCTAAGCACGAGGGCCATAAAAATGGAATCATGTCCATCCCTGTTTTCTAAGATCTCGTAATGGACCTAGGGTGACAGATGCAAAGAACAATGATTTCTGCCTTGGGGGCTTGGAGACAAAATAGGGGAAGAGATTAAATATCATTTAATAATGTGATACTGCACAGAGGGGCTTGGTGTCTGTGCGAAGACACTGGGGATGTACTTCAGGATTTGAATCATTCAGTCTTGGTCAAACTTGTTTTTTGACTCCTGTTTTACCACTTTTTCTCTCCCGTGCACTTAGCCTCAGCACCCCAGTCAGATGAAGGCTCCGACATTGACTCTGAACCAGATTTGCCATTAAAGAGAAAACAGCGCAGGAGCCGAACGACTTTTACAGCAGAACAGCTTGAAGAACTGGAACGAGCTTTTGAGAGAACCCACTACCCTGATATTTATACCAGGGAGGAACTGGCACAGAGAGCAAAGCTCACCGAGGCTCGAGTTCAGGTACTGACTCTAAACATCCACGCCCTGATTAAATCCGGACAGGAAGCAAAGTAGTGTCTTTTCATCTAAAGCAGATTTTATTTTATTTAAGATTTTATTTATTTGAGAGAGTGAGCATGAGCAAAGGGAGGAGCAGAGGGAGAGGGAGAAGCAGGCTCCCTACTGAACAGGGAGCCAGATGTGGGGCTTGATCCCAGGACCCTGAGGTCATGACCTGAGCTGACACAGACATTTAACCCACTGAACCACCCAGGTGCCCCTAAAGCAGATTTTAAACCCAGAGAATAAATACGTTAGAAATGGCACTTCATTGTGAATTGTAGCCTTTAGTAGCATAAAGTTTCCAACACGTTCTCTCTAGTGTCTTTTCTTTGTCTTTTGCCTTGTCCTGATGGCACTATTCTGACCTCTTTTTAATTTTTATTTGTATTTGCCTGATCACAACCCCCCCACCGAATTTCTTTTGTTTTTAGGTACGTCTATTGTATCCAGCAGTATTTTACTTTGCTAACCAGTCAGACAATTATTTTTTTTCTCACTTAAGAGGTTGGTAAGTCTAATTAAATTTATCAATGTGATCAGTACGTTTGGCTCCTTTTCTGTCATGCTGTTGGATACAAGTATTTTATGTGGATCTGTTTTAAAATGACCTATTTGTTTGCTTTACATTCTTAGGGTTTTTTGTTGTTGTTGTTGTTACTTAAGAAAATGTGCATTCTTATTTTAGCCTTTGGTTATCATTAATAGAAGAAAACAATTATGTCCGATGTAAGTGTGTCAGTTCCTGTTGGTCACTCCCCATTTCATGAACCCTTGTTACACACGGGGCACGCTATGGACCTCAGGGGTGGCACATAAGATAATAGCAAGCAATTGCGAGTGGTCCCCTTGTGCCCAGCACTGTTCTAAGTGCTTTACGTGAATTAACCCATCTACTCGGCACTAGAACTGTAGGGTGATACTATTATTTACCCCCAGTTTTTTTTTGTCAGACTATTGAAGTGAGCACCCAAAGTCCTAAAACTAGTCAGTGATAGATGTAGTTGGATTCTATATACTTGCTCTTGATGACTTTTCAATTATGAGGATGGGCAAAGGTGTATAAAGAAAAATTCCTTCTAAGGCTGCTTCAAATAACTATTTCAAATAACTATTTGAACTAACATTTCAAATAACTATTATTTTAGGAATGGTTTGAAGCATCTTCTGAAGTTTTAGAATGACTCTGAACTCTCTGGAAAGACTACTTTCGTTTAATAACTTTCTATTGATAGAATAACATTTTCAGCATTAATGAAGATAGTAAAACACTGTTTGAAGGCTTAAAAATGTCTTAGGGTATCCTTAAACTCCTCGAGTTAAGTTGCTTTATCTAGAAATGTGTTCTTTCCAGCTACTTGACTTTCATCGTCAAAGCGAGCCTGGAGACTCAGAGGTAAACCGATCAGTTGATATGGTCTCTAGATTGATCATTGCTTTCTCCTGTGCAGCTCATTACCTCTCCTTTTCTAGGCTTTTACAGAAATAGCCTCTCCCAGGGTACAGAACCTAGTCAGAGTGATTGTCTTATTCAACCTGACTTGCCACACATCACCGTAGAGGTAAGAAAGTGAAGGAACGCTAAGATGCATTAAGGCAAGTCTCCCAAGGAGCTCCAGTCTAATATTAATGAGTTAATGAGGTAAACACAGATAGTTAAAAAAGCCAGTTATGATAAGTAGCCTAAGAGAGAAACAAAGTGCAGTGGGAGTTGAGAAGAGGAAAGAATGAGATCCTGCTGGATAACAAGAGAAGCTCACAAAGAAGGCAGATTTAAGATGAACCTTTGAAGCTAAATAGAAATTCTCTGGACAGGGAGGGTGGGGAGAGTGTTTTAGTAAGAGAGAATAATGTGAACAAAAGTGCAGAGAGTTGGATGCATGTGAGTCACATACCTGGTGATCTTTCATTTTTGCTCATGTCAAAGGAATAGGGACTAGTTCAGTTTGGTTGGAGGGTAGGAAGAAATAGGGTGGTGGGAGGAATATGGTTGGAAACCTAGGCTGAGGACATCCTGTGGTGGGCTTGGGTTTTAGGCAAGGGCTCTCACAGTTGATGTGATGGGTAGTGGAGGCTGTGGGCATGAATGGGTTAGGGGCTATGGGAACAGAAAGAAAGGGCAGAGGCAAAAGGTGGAAGGTAGGCAACAGGTTGGGTAAGCTGGAAGTGGGTGGAAGGGTGAGCAAAGAAAGGAGTCAGAGATGCGTGGAGCCTTACTGTACAGATGTTTTACAGCGGGAATTATTGACTCTATCTACCTGTTACATTGGGATACGGTGTTCCTCTCCAGAAATGACCACCACTAACCACAAATTATGATAACTTACGTACATAAATATTGTATGATATAATACCATATGTGGCATATGAATCATGATATGATCTATAACAATGTTATAAATATTGTATGTATCAAATCTAATTGCGTTTATTACAGTTCTGTGGACACCTGGCTTAAATCCGAAGTCAGATCTGTTCCCATCTCCATTCTTCCAGCAAACCTTTATAGAGCGCCCATTGCATTCCAGGATTTGATCCCTATACTCTTTGTCTGGCCAAGCCCACATCCCGAGTCCATGCTTCAGACAGATAGGAGATCAGCTCTGCACTCAGAGTAAAAAAAAATAAACATTGATTTTAAAGAAATCAAACAAAGAGAGTGATGGAAAACTGAAAGGGTTCTGTGTTGTCCGTCATTCCTGCTTTTGCCAAAAACAAAGATGGGGGACCGACTAAATCTCAAACCCATGCGGCTTGTGCAGTGCCCAGCATTCACATCTGGCTCAATGAATGTCTGATGAGAATAAGAAAGGCCCATTAACTTGCAGAGGACACGGGATCAAACCAATAAAGAGTGGTTCATATTTTTCTATACAGTGACCTCCTCTCCAAAGCAGGGCCCTCATTAACCTAACAGCTGTCCTAATGTGGCTTTAACCCGATGACTCTTTACATTCCTTATGGCTTCATTAGTTCCCTTGAGACACATCATGTCCTGCACCACAGCTATGATCTACGGCCTAACAAATTCCCTACAACACCCGGCATATGGATCTTTTACTTAACACAGCAGGAAAAAGAAGGGAGCAGTTAATCACTGATTAAAATGCCAGAACAAAATCCTCTAGTTTTTAGAAGGATCTGGGAAAGCAGTAGCAATGTCAGCTCCATTTGAGTGATAGCCAGAAAGTGTGAGTGAGTTTAATTTGGGGCACCTGGGAAAACCAAACACCCAGTGGAAAAAAACCCTCAAACAGGTCTACATTCTATATATTTTTTTTCCCCTGAGTAAAATATTTCTAAAGTCTTCTGGATAGAGATGGTATTAAAGCTATAATAACTTAGGCCTTTGTCAGTATTTCCTAAATATTTGTTTAGCCAGTAGCTCTGTTGTGTTTATCACAGCCAAATCTGAGGACACAATCTGAGAATTATTGTATACCAAAGACTAATTTGCCTAATTCACCTCCTGGGTATTATTATGCAGATAATGGCAAGCCTCAAAGTTTCATGGGGAAGAATGCAAATATTTATGATGTGCCACAGTTTTAGTAAATATTCCACCTAAGAACTCCACAAAGCAGGGAGGTAGCCCTCTTTTATCCCCAGGATAATGGGAGAGAGCGAGGAAGCTGTTTGAGGAAACCGTATTGAAGCAGGGGTCAGAAGATGGGGGTTTTGGTCTCAGCTTGCCAAATGTGTTCTACTGAGGAAGTCACTTAACTCTGCTGTAATCTTGCTGGCTTCAGATTGTTTTTTCTTTTAATTTAAAAATACAGGGTAGGTTAGATCAGATGATCTCAGTCTGGGTCCACAGATGACCAGGATAATCATGGATGGAATTCAAGAAATCTAGGAGACTTGAGATTTGTACACACAATTTTGTGCCTTTGCCTCTGCCTCTCTCTCTCTCTCTCTCTCTGTGTGTGTGTGTGTGTGTGTGTGTGTGTGTGTGTGTACACAAGCATTAACGGGGGGGGGTATCCCTGGTTTTGTCATTTTCTCAAATACCACTGCCCCCTTTCCTATTCCCAATTAAAAATAACTAGGTGCATGACTTATCATCAGTAATTGGAGGTTCTCACAGAAGCCCAATAGGGATGGATTGATTAATTTCAATTCCAGTACAGTGAACATGCAATGATTTATTAGTTTCAGGTGTACAATAGAGTGATTCAAAAATCCTATATATTATCCAGTGCTCACCACTATAAGTGTCCTCTCAGTCCCCATTTCCTATTTCACCCATCCTTGCACCCGCCTCTCTTCTGGTAACCTTCAGTTCTCCATAGTTAAGAGTTTGTTTTTTTGGTTTTTCTCTTTGTTTTGTTTGTTTTATTTCTCAAATTCCACATATGAGTGAAATCATATGGTATTTGTCTTTCTCTGACTTATTTCACTTGGCATTACATTCTCTGGATCCCTCCATGTTGTTGCAAATGGCAAGATTCCATTTTTCTTTTATGGCTGAGTAATAGTCCATTGTATATATTTGCCCCATCTTCTTTATCCATCTATGGAAGGACATTTGTGCTGTTTGCATAATTTTGCTATGGTAAATAACGTTGCAATAAGCATAAGGGTGCATATATCTTTCCAAATTAGTGTTTTCATATTCTTTGAAAAAATATCCAGTAGTGGAATTACTAGGTCATATGGTAGTTCAATTTTTAATTTTTTGAGGACTCTCCTTACTGCTTTGCATAGTGGCTTTGCATTCCCACCAACAGTACACGAGGGTTCCTCTTCCTCCACATCCTCGCCAACACTTGTTTCTTGTGTTTTTGATCCGGTGGGGATTTAAAGTCATCCAACAGATCTGTATAGTTTAGAAGTTAAGGTAGGTATGGAATATTTGGCCCTGAATTCCTTAATGATGCAAAAATATGATCATCCTGAAATTTGCTTCTGGAGTTTGCTGTTGGGATGAATGAAGCTGCAGTTGAGTGTGCCTGTGTGCC